AATTATTGTCAGCTAATAAGTGTCAAATTGAATTTGTGTTTTAAAATTAGCTTCTGCTAATTTTTCTATGGCATAAGTGCTTTTGAAGTTGCAGACCTTAATATATTCATAAACGCTTTAGAAATTGCGGAGCTAATTTTTGGATTAGCGCTGCCCACCACTGCTATGAGACATTTTTTAACCCATCCGTCCATCAATCATTGGCTGCAACTCAATTCATTGGCTGCAGACGACGTCAGCCGCATTTGTCGACCCCTTACGTCAGTGCCCCGCCGCGCCATAGGCTGTCCCAATTCTTAGGCGCCTACTCATGTGGCCGACAAAACCCCGAAAACGTAGGCTGCATCTACAAATGACAAAAGCCAAACAACATCACTGATTTCAAGATTTGTATCACTTTCTTTTTTATTAAAACTGTACTCCTGTCTGTTGCCTCATCTGCCATTACAAGCAAAAACAAAATCTTGCGATATGCCCGTGTTGTGGAAATATTTATTCCTATCAAGTATTTGTCTAACAAAGAGCTGCACAGTTCTGTGTTACACTTCTGTGTCTTGCAACAGCAATGAAGCAAACTCAGATGACCATTCAACAAAGGGCCTTTATTCTTATCACGTATTTCTGTCCTTCTTAAAATATGTCCCCAACATCCCGCAATATGTCTTGGGATTGGACTGAGAAGGATCCACCAGAGCCCTCCATCAATCAGAGGAAAAGGAGGRCAAGTTTGTGGGGAGCCGTCGAGTTCGGACAGCCTTCTGCGCATCGCTCTGACGTAATCGGCCTTTAAATCTGGCCTTCGAAGGATACACCCCATGAATTTGGACACAGCCATGGTCTTTCTAGCGCAGTAGTTCTCAATCCTGGAACTTAAAGACCTGATTAAACTCGATGTGCAGAATTTAGCTCATCTTGTGTAGCCTTCTTCAACTGGGTTGACTAACGGTTAATCAGTTCTGTACGTACATCTAATTTCTGGGAGTTTTTTTATTGAAATATGTTTGATTGCTCATGAGATATTTCACTATCAGAGTTGATTCCAATGATTAACGCCAAGGTTCAAGGAAAACGTACAGTGTTATGTGTTCAAAATATGTGACTGTTATCTATTTTCTTCACTCTCTGAACTGGTTTTTATCTCTTGCGAAAGAATGAAAGGCAAAATAAAAATCTGTGTTGAAACTTCTTGCTGTTCGGACTCGGTGCAGGCCACGTTTTGCATGCTGACTGCGCTATCTCTCACTTTATGACCAGCTGATTGAAGTCGTTGACTGAAACCTGCACGGCCGCCGAGAACAAATTGAGCCGATATTACTTCTCAATTGAACACTAAATAAGAACTGTGGTCCTTYTGTTTGTTTGTTCATTTTCACCCCAGTTGTGTTTCTTTTGCTTGTTTGGTCATGTGTGATAAATTCAAATATCTCCCAGTTAGTCAATAATTACTCCACACACCAACAAATTTAAATGGTATTTCTTTTTTTCTCGGTTGTTTTCGTGGCGTGCAGCTTTGTGAACGCTCGCTGTCRGCTGCATAACAAGAGGAGCGAAGTAACTTCATCGTCGTACAGATGAAAGTGCAGAAAACAAAACTTTCTGCAAAGTTGAACAAATGGCGGCAAGCAGGGGTGGACTGGGGCAAAAAAGTGGCCCGGGAATTTAGTACCTGATTGGCCCATTCAAGGTCCGGGCTGGCAGAGGATGTTTACTAGAGCTCAAGGCAGAAACAAAAGGCACTGTACAAAAGACAATCAATGTAAGGATGTAATGTTGAGGAATTAACAATGTATTAAGATTGCAGAGCATTATTTAGTGTGCAGGCTTTAAACTTTAGGGTTCCAGTGTATATATGGTCATTTGTGACTAATTTTGATTTTACCTTTATATTACCCAATAGAAAACATTAATATTAACTAACATGGTATCTTTTTTTTCAACACAGCATGATCTATGTGGATTTAAACTTTTTGTTCCCATTTGAACATACTTTTATTGCATATTAGACCTTAATTTACAAAAAATAAAAATACAATAAAAACCCAAGTGGGTAAAGTTATTTGTGAAACCCACTAAAATTTACGATTTTTATCTTTTATAATGCCAATGCATGATGTAAATTTCTAAAACTGATGTTGAAACACTGTAAGGAACAAAGTTTTATAAAATTACTAGCTACTGAGCACAGTTTGGTCCTAGTCCACACAAAATAATGTTTTTTACAGCTAAATGCATTGTTTTAAAGGAGCAATATCATGTAAAACAAACTTTTTTGAGTATTATATCATGTTATAATGTTATACTCACATTAAAAAAAACATGCCCAAAGCCTTGCTCTGACTCATTCATGCATGTTTGAGAAATCCTGCAGAGTTTTTAGGAAGCCATGCTGAGGAGCAAAACGACAGTTGGGGACCAGAAACGTTCCTGGGACGTGTCTTTAAGCCGAACTTCCTCATGGCAGAGTGCCCCTCCCCCCTCCCCACACACCCCGCCCATGACTCCTGTAGGCTCTCTGGTGAAAGTGAAACTTAAACTGTCTGGGCGAGACAGAAGCRGAAGGTGGTTCTTAAAGAGACAGAGGCCAATTTCAAGGTGTTTAGAAGAGGACGTGATGAGAAGATATGTTTATTTTCTACGTAAACATAAAAGCAGCATTTTAATAACAGCTAAATTCAATTCAATTTATATTCTTTATACTGAAACGGTTGTACAGCGCAATGAAATGCTTTTAAGCTAGATCTCCAGAGCAGCAACAAAGGACATAGTGCAGACAAGACAAGACATAACGTGCATAAACATTARACACAAACATTAAATACACAATCGTGTGTATGAAGTGAACTAGGTGTGAACAACGGACAGTCTATGGAACTAGGTGTGAACAACGGACAGTCTATGG